TAGGGTTGGGCACACAGACATCCCTTGTGTTCTGTCGTCTCCGCCAGCACCCTAACGCTTCCTCGCACAGCTCCTGGAACGCGGTGGAATAGCCCCACTTCCAGCCCTTTTGCTACAGTGCTCTGATAAAAGAGCTTTCACAACCTGATTTACAAATTTTAATAGCAACTCATTGCAGTCCTCAAAAGAGGACCAGAGCTGTAGTTAAGAACTGCAGCTCTGCCGGCATCCACAAGAAAAAGGGAGGTTACAGCAAGCCCAGGAGGTGCCTTTCCAATGGGCAAACTCCATTCTCCCCACTGCTGTAACACAGGCTTAGACAGATATGATGGTGTGATCAACCATATTAAGTATTTTGAAGGTTATACAGGAATCTCCTACTCATTGGAAATGACATCATTAAAAGCACCCACAATAACTACATTCTCTGTGTGGGTCTAAAAACTCTCTTCTAGCTGTCCTGTTTGCTGAACATTTGGATACTGTAGTAAGGAGAATCAAAATTGTGATGCTGATTCTCTAAAGATAAAATAAAAAGGAGAAACCGAGGTGAGCCTAAAGCATTTACTAAAAATCAGTCTCAAACATATTTAAAGGGTTTTTGAAACCCAGTTTCAAATAAACCTTAAAATGTTCATCCTGGGATTTTCTGTTTAAAAGCAGCCCTGGCCAAATACACTGTGCAGATCTCCTGCTGCAGAGCTGGTACCAAACCACTCATCGGTATTCATTCAGTCGCCGTTGCAGGGGGGGACATCAGTAGGAGCCCTGGATTGCTTTGTTTTCACGTGTGCAGACAGCAACACAGCCATAGGCATAAGCAAATATTGCAGTCTTAAGCTATGGATTTCCAACTTTCAGAGGAAGATTCAGATGTTTGACATATCACACAACTTCACCTTTCCTTCTTCTGACCCTGCTGCCTTCCTATGTCCCCCTTCCCACACACACACGCATACATACGTGTGTCGGTCATTTGTTCCGATGGATTTAGCCTAGTTTGGATCAAAGCTTCCTCTACTTCATTTAACAGATTTGCTCAGATGGAAGGTCTCAGGGGAGAAATAATGTTCGTAAGAGGGGGGGGTTTCTAGCATTGAGTATGTAGGTCATTGGACTTTAAAATAAATTAGAGAATAGTTTATCTATTAAACAAGCCTTGCAGTACATTTTTCATGGAGCTATACTTAATTATAAGCTAATGTGCACTACGCAGCTACCAAGAAGACAGATTAAAAAGTGGTCCATAATGCAGTGATTAATACAATTATTAGCTAGCTGGCATGTAGCATCTACTATTTGGTACCATCATGAGAAACAGCAGACCTCTAGTTTTTGATGCTGGCACTTTCTGTGAAATGCAACAAACCTAAACATTTCCACACAGGAATGCAAATGTCTCTACACTTCCTGGGGACGTGATCCTCTGGAGGCAGTGGGGAAAATGCAGTGAGGTGAGAGCAGACTTTAACCTCCACTTTGTGTGCTTTTTATGTTCTCTCTCCACTGTGGGCTTTTGGGAACATCCCATATATCTTCTACAGTGCAGTGCAAGGCTGACTGTTTCTGAACACCTCTTGTTATTACTTGGGACAACAGTCTCTTATCCAAAGGAAGATTGGTATGAAATTAATTAATTTTGGAATTAAAAATTGAGGAGCGCGAGGCATAAATATGTACCTACATTCTTTGCTACCATGACGGCTCCTAGGGAAATGACGCACTGTACAATCCACTGGTCTTTTATATTAAGGCCCTGTAGTCTAACGGAACGGAGCTCTGAGATGATATTAATCTTTTATGGGTGTTAAAGACTTGCCTGCTCTAAAGGAACCACTGTATGGACTGTACAGTACATGACATTACTTATGATGGAAAGCTAAAAGTAGATTTTGTTTTCTTTTGTATAAAATTACATTTGTCTGATATTTCGTCATGAAGCAATCAAAAATGGGGAAAGTTTTGTTTTTTGTTTGTTTGTTTTTTAAGAAAAGCTAGAAAAGTTAGTGCCACATAAGATACATGTCAGTAGAAGGACAGGGAGACTGACAAAATAGGTGATATTACTACCCTGAACTACAAACTTCATTTTGTATACTGGAACTCTAGCGTAAATTTGTCTGAGGACAGATCATCCAATCACATTTCCAGGTGCAGTCTTGCCCAGGAAAGGAGCCTGACGCCTTCTTGAAGGACATGACCTTGGCATGTCCAGCCAGCCAGCGCAGCAGCTCAGCTCCGTGTTCCTGATGAGTGGGCTCAATCTGAGCCGGTACATGCATGGGAAAGCACAGCACCATCCAAGAGGCAGTACAGTGCTCTCCACAGGGCTACAAAAGATAACTGCCTGCCCCTGGCTTGGTCAGTGCTATTTTGGAGGTTTCTGCATCACCCTATACTGTGCAGTGTGGGCATGTCCTGGGAAACCATCAAAATTTCAGTCTGAAGCTACCAAATTTTTCTTTCAACTACCACTGCCCTCCCTCACTCTTGAGGATGTCTGCAGGCAGAACATATGTGACTAAAATAGATTTAGCATTTCTCCAGGGAAGCATGCAGGAGAGAGAGATGGATACTCAGCTGGAGTCTCAGGCACTGACGGTGAAATCTAAGGCAGCTGGACAGCATCATGCCATTTCCCCAATAAGAGGTCTGAAACTCAGAATGTGTCCAGGAGAGCTTCTGAGTTACACTCCATGCAGATCCAGCTGGCTTCCAGAAGACGGGGACCAGCCATCAGGTCTACTCTCAGCAGAGGGGTAATACTTGAAACTGTTACACTAAGAACAAGTCTACTCTACTGTCAGGTTAGGTACACAAAAAATGCCACCAATGTCCCAAGACACTGTAGGAATTATCTTCCATGCTATTGTGCCAATGTATTTCCTTAACACATAGATTTTCAAGTGTTTAAATATTCAATATTAAAAAGGTTCAGAAACAGTTTTCCATATCTTGAATAAAACCGTAGCCATATTTGCCCTCTTTTCCTATAGAACTGGAACGCAGAGATGATCATGCAGAAGACGTGATTGCTGGTTTGAATGATAAATGCTTACGGAGCGATAGCTCAGCCAATATATCAGTTATGGTGGACATTACTCTTTGAAGAACTTAGGACACCGAGTTTCACTGAATTCCAAGTCATATGGGGGGTTGAAAATGCTGTCAGGTGTGACTGGCCCACAGTCACTCTGCCAGGAGCCACTGAAGTTGGGAAGAAAGCACATTTCACCCAAAGCCCTGTTCAGTGTCCTAAAACCACTGGAGCAATGCCAGAACACCACAGGAAAGTAAAGAAACATACTGCAGCTGATTTAGTCCAGATTTCAGATTATCTATCAAGAATGTGGAACAATCTCTTTTGTGGATGGTGTGGAAACACCACATGCAGAGCAATGCTGTGCCACTGCTAGAAAAAGGCCAGAGTGGTCTCTCTCACATGCCTGCCTTTTCACTGCCATCCTGCACAGTCAATATGCGGTTCAGTGATATGCAAGGCTTGGGTTTTCCTAGATCCGCAGAATCAAAGCCTTGCCTCCCTTTAAATACTATAGCAGAACTGTCGATTTAATATGCAAGGTGTAAGACAGCTTTTTCATTTGGGGACCAGCTTTTGATTTATTAGCAGACTTGAGCACTACAACCCAGCTCTCCCAATCTGGCTAAAGCAGGGCTTTATGTTCAGTGACAGTGGCAGAACCCTCACCGGCAACATTACTGCTGACCTCCTGCTCAAGTTCAGAATATGTCATTCTGTCAATACCATCTACCTTGATTATACCAGGCTTTACATACAACAGGTTATGATCCCAGAGGGATGAAAAGCTTTTCCAAATTAAAAGCAGCATTTTAAAGAGGAAATACTCATACATTCCTATGTAGTTTTCATTTGATATCCTCAAGGCTAACCCCAGAACTCGAAGCCATGTTGATTGAAAATGAATGTTTTTTCTGAGTGCAGCCATCTTATGAATTTAATGGAAGAAGGGAAGTAATAAAAATGTGCTCCATACTTTAATTAGTTCCCTTATAACATGGCATTTCCAAAATGGCAGTGCCAAAGAAAATCATTAATCCAGGATAACAGGCAAAAGCACTGTACGGGGCAAGGGACAGACCTCCAGGAAACATATACTCATGTGGCCCTTGTTTTTTCTTGTTGGTAAAGCTTACCTCAAAGATTGACTCTGACTGCACAAAAGAAATTTGTACCAATATTTAAATATGAAACCACTTTCCACTCCTTCAGCCTTATTACAGAGTATCATGGACTAGAGATCATGCTTCGTATGCTTTGAATGGTATCTGGCAGCAGGATAAACGTCAACAGCCTGCCTTTCTGAACATGCATTCACCTGGGTACTCCAGGTGCTAGGCTTAAGCTGATACTATCTTTTGATTATTTCAACATCTGAATTTCAGTATTTGAGTGAGAGAAACTGTGTCAGCTGCATGAAAGCAAACATGATCTGCTGCAAATGGCAGACACCTTTCCAGCAGTCAGTCAACTCTTAACAGCCAGCTAGCACCAAGATAGTCTTTCAGCGTATGCCCGCTTTTCTTACATGCTTCTTGGGGAGTAGCCTTTGGCACCAGCCCTGGCATCAATAGTAGATGGCACGGAAGGAACTAAGGAAGTGGCAGAAGCCCAAAGACCCCTCTGACTCCCACAGTCTCTTCCTGGCCATGAGGCAGGAGCAGATGGAGAAGTTTATAGCGAGGCAGAGGAACTCAGGGAAGAGTTCACAAGCAGAATTACCTCTAAAGAATGAAGCTCAGGTAATAGCACTGGGGGTGACCAAATGCAAACAAACTGCTGTCCCAGGAAGAAACTGGCTCATTCAATCCCAACAAAGGGATTAGGGGAAGAAAAGGCAGGGTGATCTGACCTATTTCCATGGCCCATCTCCTGCCTTGATCTGCAACAACCATACAGCCCCATAAGAGTCACAGCTTTGCCCCTCAGCTCTTCTTGGTTATAGAATATAAATCGATACCTGTGTGCGGTTGAACGCTACTCTTGCAAAGACAGCTTGAGACACACTGGCTCTCTTCAGCTCATCTCTGACTTGCTGGTAAATATCTGGAGAGACTTCCACCGATGAATTTGATGGCTCCGGTTTGACAGCTCTAGGAATGGGTGGATGATTCAAGAACTGTTGGTTGATAGCTTGAGGGTGCTGGTGAGCCAATAGCCGGCTGACGGCAATCTGTTGGTTTATCAGATGGGCCATTGCTATCTGCTGCCTTACCAGTTGCGGACTGAGCTGAGGAGACAGGAGCCCCGGGTTTATCATTGTCTGCATCGCTGGCACTTGGTTTCGGATTGGAGTACTGTGGTGAATTTGGCCATGAGGAGACTGTTCATTAGTTTTTCCCAAGGTTGCCAGCTGGTTGATATTTGGTAAGTGCATGGGACGTTGACCAAGAACACAATAGTCTGAAAGGTTTTCTCTTTCCACTCTTTCCACTGTTAAAAGAGAAAAATTAGTTTGCTGTCATTTCAGTGTGCACTTACAAGAGGACTGTTAGGGTAAGGATTACTGCAGGTGACTGTACACAACAGCACACCCACTTTAGTTTGCAAATCTGCACTTGGATAAGAGCTCCACAAAAAACATAAGAAAAAGCAGCACAGAGGAAGAACAACAGTAATCAACAGTCTTTTGCACAGGTTTCGCCCACTGCGTAGGAAGCCTCCTTATCAAACAGGTAGCAGGTTCCCTCTCCAGCCTCATTTCCTAAAGCAACAAGCTCAGACACTTCTGCTCACGCTGTCACTAACTTTTGAGCCTGTTGTCAAATTGAATGAACTCTCATAAGGAGGTGAATGGGAAAGAAACCCAAATTAGGGTTTCAGGTGAGGGAAAGAAACCTAAGGTGGGCATGGGGAAGGACACAATACTCTTGCCTTCTGTGCCTTCATCTTACCTTTCCATTAATAGCTAAAGCCTCGTCACTATGACTCTGTCATGTCAGCTTCATAGAATACAGATTTTGACAACATCTTATTCACTATGGTGCTGTTTGTTATGGCTTCACACTCTCTCAGAAAACTTTGCTTAGCGCAGCAAAGACCCATGACTCTTAAGTGACACCATATTGCAAAAAATGGAACACTACAAACCAAATACGTATCCTACAATTACATATGCAGGTGCATGTTGTCCCTTTTGAATATCTTACATCAGCAATATCATTAGTTTCTTTTCATATAGGTGCAAAAGTAAGTACACATACTACAAAACTAAATTTCCTGCAAAAGTAACATTTGAAACAGGAAATGAAGTTTAAAAAGTACAGAAATAAAACTATCACTGAGATAACTGTAAGTAATCAGAAGTCGTCGTACACTAGGTTGCAGACTCCGTGAGCTTTGCTACGTGCAATTGGCAGGCATTTATACGCAGTGATCTGACAAAAAGTGTTTGGGGACCCAGTATCACGCAACTAGGAAACCACTGCCTCATCCTTCCATCAGTTTCAGCAAACAACACGCTAGGATTTATTTCATGAAATGTCATAATTCTGCGATAACTTGTGTAATGATCAACAATTGCATAAGGCTTTGAACTCTTTTTAAAAACTTAATGTGTATAAAGCTTTGAAGCTTTACATAGCTAATACTCAGGACAACAGTTTACTGAGGACCTTCTCTGGTTCCGTCTCAACAGAGGAGATGGCTCTTTTCACCTTCCACAGTTAATCCCAAAGGAAGAGGGCTGAACTCTCGCTGGGGAGGGTGTCACGGCCTGAACACGCACAAGCACACGCAGTTGCTCTAGCTGTCGTTCCCCAACTGCACATGAATACTGAAAGTCTACAACTAGGTGACTAGTACCCAGGATTTTTTTCTTTTTGTGAAAATTCTTACTTTTTGTAAGAAATTTTAATTACCTCTTCCTGTTCTTTGGAAGAAAAATAATCCACAAAACCTCTGACCTTCAATAAAATAATTGCTTTAAAAAAAGCTAAACTCAAAGATTTTAAAATAAAAATAAAAAATTTAAAACATTTTAAATAAAAAATTAAACATTTCTTAAAATTCCTGTTTTTCCACAAAAGCCAAAGTTTCAACCCAACTACTTTTCCACAGTGCTTATTTGCACCGTCTGCTTTAACTACACAATTCTGACCTGCCCCATGTACTACACAGACACTATTGCAAACAACCAACCGCTTTTGATACACTACTCACAGCCTGCTCGGCAGACAGCACAGTATTTCAATTTGCTGAAAACACTGAAAATCCTTATCAGCTTGTCTCCCCAAAAAGGCCATTCCCTGGCTTTAGGGCAGACAGGAAATCAATCTGCACTATGAAACATGAGTGCTGTTCATGGCAGGGACAGACCTGCCACGGTACTTAATGGCACGCGCGGTCGGGGAGGAGGCAGCTTTGCCACAGCCCTAGCCCCTGCTCTGCGACGCGCTGCTCGCAGCCCGCGTGCCCACGCTGACTACGGCCTCCTCAGCCTCTCTGCGGTAAGCCTCTGCCTGAGCAGTGCTGTTAAATTCACACAATTTCCAGCAAAACCAAACGCGCAGGAGCACTCCAAAGGTGCAGGCGCTACTTGACAATCAGGAATTAATCTGACACAAATAAAATAGAGATGTTGCTCAGTATACTTGAAATAATTAGAGTGTTATGCTAAAAGTAAATACAATAACAGACACTTTCAGTCTTCCTTTACACCCCTGGAAATCTAGAGGCCTTACACTAGGAGTTTCAGGAGGGCTGAAATAATCTCTGAACTATTTTGTAGTTTAAGAAATTCACAGAAAATAAGTCACTGAAACCAGCAAACTACTACTTGTTAGAACACAAAAACAGTAACCAAGTGTTTTTGAAAACCTGGTGAGAAATAAATATAAATAAAATTAACTTTCTGGGCTGAACCACATTTGCCAAGTTTCCACCCACTCCTGACTTCAGTGCCAAGTTATAAACCCCTATAAAAATAAAGTTGAAGATGAAAAGGCTGCCAGGCTGTTAATCTCTGCAGTGCTACTTGGAATTACAATAGCACAGAGACATCACCTGACTTGCTTCCATAGGTGTACTTTTCCTTTATTATCAGTTTCCTTTTTCCAACATATTAGACTATACAGCCATGCATAGATTCCCAATAAACAAACCAGATTCTGGTCATTTCAACCACTTCAATAATAAAAGGTTACCATTAACAGTTACGCTGGATGGAAAAAATGTGCATTACTCAACTCCTCACTCTCCCCTTCCCTAGCACCACTACCCATATCAGATTCCCTGCTGCTCTTCAGGAACGAGGATTTGGTGGGGTGCTGTGGGGCTGGACAGAGCGATGGAGACTGGCACTATCTGGGGAGAAAGGTCAGCTGCCCCAGCAATGCTCTGAGGAAAAAGGCACGCAGGAGACACAAAGTTGCTGTGACACTGATGTTCTGACCCAGATCTTCTTGAGATGTGGCTTTCTCCATGTGCATCCTCCCTTTTCCACGTTTCTTCCCCATTACAGTCTCACCCTTGTCCCTCCTGTCTTTACTATTGCTCCACTCAGCTGGAGATCCTTTGCAGCTCTTGTAGCCTTGCAGGAGCTGCGTGGTACCTGAATATATCGGATACAGCAGCTGTGAAGGCAGAGCAGCAGGAACCTAAGCAGGGAGGAAAGGGGTCCATGGGCTTGTGCCATCTTTGTTCAAGTCCTGCTGACAAACCTCCTCTGCTAGTGGTGCCTGGGCTAGGTGAGCAAAAGCTGCTCCAGAAGGTTGTTACCCACCTCCCATCAGCAGTGTGGCCATGGCAGTAGACTTGGAAATGTTCCCTCTTGCCCCTTGTGTCGTGCTGCTTGGTCACACAATTCTCCGGCTCTTTGCTCAAAGAGCTCTTGTAAGCCGAAGCACAACACAGCCCCTCGGCATTTCTTAGTCCCCTCCTGAAGCCACACACCACGTCAGCTGAGGCCAGGTGTCAACATCTCGACAACGGCTCCTGCGCCTGAGCCCATCGAGCGGCACGCTAGGATGCTCTCTGTCCTTCACTGGCCTACACCTCCTTCCAGCATGTCACTATCTCTACAAGACAGTCAGAGACCAACATAATCCCCAGAATGGGAGCAGTAAATTGTCGTATTTCAATGCTTCTCTCTCTTATAATGATTACCACGTGTGTCAATGTATTTCAACTTCATACTGAGCTAGAAACTTCCTGGATACAGCACAAAAGCAATCCAAAGCACTCTTCCCCTGTGTGATGCTCTTAACCTCTACCCAAATCTTCCTTCCACAGTCAAATAGCTGACGCGGTCCACAGCACAATAGCTTGGGGTGGTCCGCATGCAACTTTCCATCTGAAATAAAACCAGCTCAAGAGACTTAAAATAAGATTTATTTCTCCACCTTCCCTTCCCCTCACTCTTTATTTTCACTGAGTTGTTAATAGAAACATTCTGACAAACAGCCTGTGGGGTATTTAGGGCTTATGAACGGCACTGAACTGACTGACAGCACTGGAAACCAAATTCCAGTGCACACAAGAATGGGTATAGCAGGGAGAGCAAGAGCTTAACATGCTTCCTTGTGCTGCACCACAACAGTGACACAGAGGACCCTCCAGTACCTGGGACCCAGCAAGTCCGCGCTTTTCAGTCCCCCAGGCATACACCGGCTCGTTGCCCCAAACGGAGCAGGAAGAGGCTGGCAAAGGAACATTTTGTAATAAGTTACTCGCCTGCAGAACTGCCATGTTTCAATTGTGACAGGATGTCACCACCCCAGGGTTGTGCTCCAGCACAACGGCTTCAGAGCTTGCTGCTTTGTTTTATTTTGTATTTAAAACCCGGTGATCATAAAAGCCATTACCAGCAGTGGTAATGACCAAGCAGAGCTAGCTCGGGCCAGCATAGGGAGAGCTCTGCTCGTACAGTTTTGTGTGCCCTGCGCTAACCTTCGGCTACAAAGGATCTGCTGGTAGCTTAGCACCATCCTGCTCACTGGAGCAAGACTCCAGCCTCGGGACTCTCCTTGGGGGAAGCAGCGGCTCCCCGACACAGCATTGCCCTCCGTCTCAGGGAGGCAGGGCTGCTGCTGTACACCGAAAGGGTGCCCTCTCGCTTATGCTACGTAATTATAAGCTACCACTTTGTAAATAACAGAACCACTCCAGAGCGCAGGAGGTGCTTTAAAGTGGTAATTCTGTATCTTTTCATCTATAATTAGGATAATTACTTATTTCTTCTAATCACATCCCACTTAACCACTTCAGTGCAAGGGACTGGTCTGAGGAGTCTCATTTTCGTTCAACACCTAATCATCATATTTATCCAAAGTTGTTCATTGACTTCATTTACTGTCTGATCGCTGGCTGAGCCATTTATTCTACAGTCAGGACTGGAGAAAATGCAGGTTGACTGGAGGGGCAGACTTGATAATAAATTTTAACTTCTAAGACCTTTCCTTTCCTCTACTCCTGCAGCGGGACTAATGACCTCA